GTAGTCTGGAGAGGGTAGACCTCGTATATGTCGCTACACGCCAGCAAACCATAAGATACTGCCATCATGTAATAGATTGGGTCGAAGGGTTGAGCCGCTGAAGTCTGGCGAATGCCGTGTGGGGCGTTTGCTGCCGAAAGATTTGCTGTGGCGTTGCAGCCGATGACCATTTCTCGCAGTGCGCCTGCCTGCTGTGACGTGTTGAAAGCTTTCCAGTGGTAGTGGTAGTAGAGGTTAAGCAGAGTCACTCATCGTCGCCGTGTTGTTGTTCACAGGTGAGTCACTACGGTATAAGCAAAGGCATCGCGGCAGTGCAAACCGTTACATAAGCCGATCGCGCACAGTGGCATTTCTGAACTCGACCTCACGACATCTCTGACACCTCTTCCACCAGTGAGCGACCGACGCTCGACCAACCCGCCATCATGTCGGCCCCCCAAGCGAACGAAGTGGAGAAGAACATCGAGATATGGAAAGTGAAGAAATTGGTGAAGCGCCTGGAAGCGGCGCGTGGAAACGGCACCTCCATGATCAGCTTGATCATCCCGCCCAAGGATCAGATCTCCCGGATCTCCAAGATGTTGGCGGAAGAGTTTGGTACGGCTTCGAACATCAAGTCGCGAGTCAACAGGCAGTCCGTGCTGGGAGCCATCACTTCGACGCAGCAGAGGCTCAAGCTGTACAGCAAGGTGCCTCCGAATGGACTTGTGGTGTACTGTGGCGAAATCATTACGCAGGAAGGCAAGGAGCGCAAGATCAATATCGACTTCGAGCCGTTCAAGCCGATCAATACCTCGTTGTATCTCTGCGACAACAAATTCCACACCGAGGCGCTTAGCGAGCTGCTCGAGTCCGACCAGAAGTTCGGCTTCATCATCATGGATGGCAACGGTGCGCTCTTTGGAACGCTTTCCGGCAACACCAGAGATGTCGTGCACAAGTTCAGTGTCGATCTGCCGAAGAAGCACGGCCGTGGTGGACAGTCCGCGCTGCGTTTCGCCCGTCTGCGTGAGGAGAAGCGCCACAACTACGTCCGCAAGGTCTCCGAATTGGCCGTGCAGAACTTCATCACCAACGACAAAGTCAACGTCACCGGACTCATCTTGGCCGGATCCGCCGACTTCAAGAACGATCTGAACCAGTCAGACATGTTCGACAATCGTCTCCAAGTCAAGGTCATCAAGGTCGTTGATGTGAGCTACGGTGGTGAGAACGGCTTCAATCAGGCCATTGAACTGTCAGCCGAGACCCTCACCAATGTCAAGTTCATCCAGGAGAAGAAGCTCATCAACAAGTACTTTGACGAGATCAGCCAAGACACCGGCAAAGTCTGCTACGGTATTGATGATACGCTCAAGGCGCTCGATGCCGGCGCGGCAGAGACATTGATCGTGTATGAGGACTTGGAGATGACCCGCTGGCAGCTGAAGAGCAGCGAAGGTGGTGAGGTTATCCTGCACACCACCAAAGCGCAGGAGGCCAACCGCGATCTTTTCCGGGACAAGGCTACCGGCCAAGAGATGGAGCCGATCGAGCAGATGTCGTTCCTGGAGTGGCTTGCCGAGAAGCATACCGATTTCGGTGCTACGCTTGAGTTCGTTTCCGACCGCTCTTCGGAGGGTAATCAGTTCGTGCGCGGGTTCGGTGGTATTGGCGCTATCTTGCGCTACAAGCTCAACTTTGAGCAGCTTGCTGAGGTGGATGAGGACGAGGATGATTACTACGACGATTGACAGGAGGTTGACCTCGCTCCCAGCGAGGCGCCCCACACTCCCGACTTGCCAGCGCCAATGAGTAAAGATGAGAAGACGTCCAAGGTAGCTGTGACGCCTCTGCAGCAGCATGACGTTGCTGCGACTGTTGCTGTTCCTGCAGTGAACGGAGCAGACGAGAAGTCATTTGCTGCGCCAGAGCCGAAGTTGGTGGCTCAGCGTGCGGTTGCCAAGACAGAGGCGTTCAAAGATGCGATCACCCACAGACCAAAGGCACGTTCTCCAGATCATCATTTGTCACTCAGATATACTGATCCTCCTCCAGAACTCCTCACCACTCAAAGCTTGCATCTCTGCGGAGGCGCCTGCTCTGCCTGCTCGCAACGTACAGCCAGTTATGCAGCCTCCTCGCTTCGCTCTACAGGCTAGCAACTAAGAAAGACTGCACCGATGCACGACAGCTTCAAAGTCTGAGGGCGGTTGATCTTGGACGGGAGTATGCTTTGCTTTGCTTGCGGTGCCTCTGGCAATTAGCATCTCAACCACGGATGCGATGCCAGGGGTACAGTCACTCCTTGAAAGCCTGCTTATGCGAAAGGTGTGAGAGCCAAGGTTGCAGCGCGTGAGGATGGGCTGTAGAGACAACGACATTCGTTAGCCAGTGTGGATAGTCTCATCAAACTGCTCACCCCATTCTGATCATTTGTCTTGCCTTCGTTCGTGGTCAAAAGTGCTGAGGAAGGCTCAAGGCCAGGTATGTCGCTTTTCTCCAACGGCAGCAATTTTCGAGAATGCTGCAATACATTGTGCCTCAGCTTTGTCGAAATAACGCAGTGCTGAGACGCTCGTAGTAATCTCTGCTTCCAGCAGGAATATCATAGGCTGAGTGCTAAAACGAGGTGTAAGTGAGAGGAATACCTGAAAGGGCCGATTCCTTCTCTCTCAATGGTCCGCTCTTGACTCCTTCTTGAGGCATAGTACATGTGCATCCAGCCGTAGCGGCGTTCCGGAGAGAGCGATTGTGACCATCATGAATATGCTTCGAAGCACTGGGCTCAGGGCCGAAGTTTGAGAGCGGAGTGCTGCCCTCTCCAGTGTAGTAAGTCTTGAGTGCCGCCCCAGACACATGACCGGAGCGCGAGTCAATTGTGGCGGCGTAGAGATGTCCACATGTCTTGCCCCTGGAAGTGGTGGTCAGTTACTGGAAGACAACCAAAATCCGCACCCCGTGCGGCCTGAGCACGACTGGGACGTGAACTTGACTTGTTGCTCTCTCCGTGACTTCGATCAGTAGTGGTTTGATGAGACACAGTGCCGCAGCGTGAAGGCAATATGGCAACCCCGGGATGTCTCTTGTAGCGACCTCGGGGCGTATGATTCCGAGAATAACGTAGCCAATATCCCACCATGTTTACTTGACCTTGGCGATGCTTGGCTTCAGTGTAGCAGCGCTCGACTTGTTCGGCATTGCGGAGACGTGCGAATAGCTCGGGTAGATGGCTTGTGAGATAGCAAAGTGGCTGGGAGAGATCGTGCATTCCAAGGGCAGCAGTAGGTTTGATGTGTGTCATATCCAGTGCACGAGCACCACATTGTTGCTGCGACTGTGGAAACCGATCCATACAATGCCAGACAGGCTTTTCAGCCGTGTCGTCATGCTTGTCCGCTCGTCTTCTGTTGTCGAGACCACAACCTGCTTCCTACCATCTCAACCTCCTCATGGACTGCGTTTCCACACTTCCCAACTCATTGCGGTGGAGCCCAGGAGCCTTGGTACCCGGCCCGCTGATCTTCTGATGGATGGCCAGCACCCGGTAAGGCTTGTTGCCCACCGCGACATCGAGTTCGGGTACCAAACGCGATACCCATGGTCTGCTATTCGTAGTGGCGTTGTCGCAGGACGCAAATGTCTCCACTATCCTTGCCTCGTCATCGAAGCGTTCTGTGTCTCGAGCGTCGGCGCCCTGCAGACGCGTAGGCAGCTCCGTACCAGCATAGCAAGTTCCAAGGATGGTCAATGCGTCTGCAAGCGTGTGATCTCGAAGCTCCACTTGCAGGGCTGTGAAGTCGTCTCGAGGACCGTTACTGTTGATTGCTATCAGTGCCTGCAACAGACGCCTTGAGCTTCATCTTCGCTTACTCGCAGGCCCAAAGCCTCCCGTTTATGACACAACTATGCCCAAAGAATGCCAGAACCAGCTGAATGGTGTCATCTCCATCGTTCTGCCCGATCCACGTGCGCAACTCGTTGAGTAGCTGACCTGGCTGCATGTTGGCGATGGCGAGATAGTGGACGTCGAAGCCCATCCCTTCAAGTGCGCTGCCCACATAGAACGCATTGCCCTTGAAGCGCGGCTCGTTTGCAGCGTAGGTGACGAATGCGTAGCCTTTTGTATGGTCTTGCTCCACGTCGTCGTCGTCCCACATGTCCTCGTCCATATTGTAGTCGGTAGGTTCGTCGGAGGCTTGCGAGGGATGGCGCTGGTGTGTGCGTGTTACGAGTGTGAGGTGATAGCGAAAAGGATGATAATTGATGGTGGGCTTGCCGCGGGAGAGGTAAAAGGTTGAGTGTGGTCGCAACGCGGCCGCAATCGTATATCTCAACAACAAACAGTACCTACATATCGAGGAGCGACAGATGATATATCCGAAGCAGCTCCAGCTTCATCCGAGCGCATAGCGCGTCGTCTACTGTGTCTACGAGCAATGCGCGCTCGTCCACGCCAAGACCTGCGCAAGCTCGGCTTCGCCGCATGAAGCATGAGATGTCTGTAGAGTCAGCGACGCAGCAAAAGTCACCACAACGTGTTGAGACGTGTAGTGATTGCGGCGCTCCTTGAGCATGTTAAGATGCATCAAATGAATCGGTCTGCAAATCAGACTGTGCTGTTCGAACTGTTGGGAATGTAGGAGGCGTAGGCTGTTAGCAATCAAACAAAATTCAAAAAAGAAACCTTCAAAAGGGCAAAAACCTAAGCTACCCACTAACTGGGTCTTAGGCGGTATTGGGAACCGGATGTTTCTTGTATTTGCCGGCGAGGCTGGGGAGGGAGGGAGGGAGGGTGCCGGCGTGGCTCGAAGGGAGGGAGGATCGGTGGTATGCGGAGGAAGGAAGGCTGAAATTGGTCTGTTGAATGATTAGCCCTGTACGAGTGTAGCTATTTAATAAGCCCTAAATCGCTGAGCAGCGATCCAGGGCACACCCCGGTAATGGGCGCCACTGCTTCGCAACACGAGTACGCAAGCCCCTGTCAAGTGTCAGCAAATATTACTGGTAAGTTTGAGGTTTGGCACCAGCTGGAATCGAACCAGCGATCTTCTAGTGGTGGTCTTAAGCGCTGAGCGACTTTAGACGAGCTAGATACTCTACCACTGAGCCATGGTGCCAGGAATGAGGGTATACTTACGCTACCGTTCCCGAGGATGTTAGAGCTGGAAGTCATAATGGATTATATATTCATCATATTTCTCCGGTATCCTGCCGACTTGGAAGATTTTCCAGTCCAGGCGGGGGTTAGCTCAGGCCATGGTGAGGCAGTAGGTCGACCACAGCAATAACAACACCTCCTCTTATCCTTTGTGACCACGAGCAAGCAGACCACAGAGGCCTCCGCGGTGTCCTCCTCGTCAGCAGTAGCATGATGTTCTCACAGCACAATCGCGCCGCCATGGCGTTTTCCTCTGCCATATCTTTCGCGGGCATTGGGCCACGACGACATCTTGAAGCAGTGCGACACCACAACCATACTCCATATGCCTGAGAGGGCAGCACGGCAGACTGCAGGAATAGACGCGCTTGCTGGACATGGCACACAAAGAGCGTAGCAATCACCGCGCAGTACCATCCTGGCCAGCGTCCTCGCCCACCCGGTACCCAGGGCCCTGCATTGCCTCACCACCGCGGCGAACCACAGCGACGACTGGACAGCAAGAGCAGGCATGGACGGATGATTGAGTATGGGCATGAGGAACGAGGACAACCATATAACCTTATGCCGGTCAAAGCGACCCTCAAGGCCGGCGGTATGGACGCGGAATACCACAGCGGCAGCAATAGCGTATCAGGTAGATGCTCCAAAGATACGACACCACGACTGCCACTGGTCCCAGGCAAGGAGCGTGCGGCAGTAGGCTGCTCGTGAAGTTCAGCACCATACCACCACGCATAGCATGACGGACATGGACTGAAGTAGCGCAGAAGAAGCCATCTTCCTGGCACAGCCATACCAGCGATGTGGCTCGGGCAGCAGAGATTGCGATCCCAGCTCGTCGTATGGCCTGGGTCGAAAGCGAAACGCTCCGCGGGCAAGAGTCGCTGCACCATGGGAGCAGACAGCTCAGTGATATGGAACGCCTTCGAAGCAGGCTTGCAGTACTGCAGTGGCCGCAGCACCACACAGCGAGTGGTAGCCAGGGTGTTTTGTGTCGCCAGCAAGCAGAGCCTGACACTCATGACTTTCCGAACGACACTACTGTCGAAGAGCTAAGCAGTACCACCGACATCGAATGCTTGCCCAAAGACGTCGACGTACATCCAAGAAAGGATGCATATGGCGCTGAGCCACCACGTGCAATTGTGGGAGAGCATATCCGTGCAGCTCTGCCATGCCATGGACATGTCTGGAGATGCAAGCAGTCCGAGCAACACACCGCGTGCTAGGACAATGAAGGTACATCCAGAAAGGATGCGTAAGGCGCTGGACTGCCACGAGCGACGGCAGAAGAGCATATCCGTGCAGTTATGCCAAGCGTGAACATGGTTGGAGGAGCAAGCAGTCTGAGCAACGAACCGCATGCTGCACAGTGCCACCACACGTTCGTTGGATGTCGCCAACTCAGGCTCTGGAAGTCGAGACTGATCAACTCGCCAAGCAAATCCATCAAAAGCTCGCCACCATAGTCATGAGCAGCCAGATATGATGAACGAGAGGGCACTGGAGCAGCGTATGTCCAGAGCCGTACGATCAGAATGACACCGATACCTTGCAGTAGCCGAAGAAGTGTTGCACGAGTATGCTGCTGAAGTCCGAGCAGCATTCGGGCATCTTGAGGTCAGGAAAGTCGAGCTAACTTTTGTGTAAGAGTGCCATACCATGGAAAGTATTTGGTCTCACCCTCGATCTCAGAGGTGTGGGACTGTCCTGTCGTGTCTCTGGATTTCGTTCTTTCTCCTATCCAAGCTCGCCAGCGCTGGCCTTTGCTTCTCGCCCATTTCCATCAAGGCCGCTTGGGTGGTTCACTCAGGTGACTGTGTACGCTGCTCACTGCGCCAGCATACAAGCACACTCAGTGCCTCACGCACATGCTGCGACTGACGACCATTATGCTTTCCATGTTCTTCGTGAGCACGCTCACAACCTGTCGCTTCAGGCTGCGCGATTTTGCGACCCGATGAGCTCCAATGTGTCTTTATTTCCTATTGCCTGGCCCATATGGCTGCTCAAATGTGTTACCAGCTCATGCTCATGCGCAGCCTCTGCCGCTGTATGCCTCACTCTTTCTCCAAGGGTGCGTGTCGTATTCGAGCGGTTCGTGGGCAATTGGTGCGGAGTTGCGGTGGTGGCAGGTGCTGCTGGCTATGTCTTCGACAGCACAGAAAGTGCTGTTCGCGATGATAAGGAAGGCGTATTGGTGTTCCTCTAGCGACGCGCTGCTGCTCCAGACGCGCTGGGCTGTCTGGTCGGCGGTGGTGGTGGTTGTGGATGGTGGTGATTTGTGTGAACGACGTCCTGCCTCATCAAGAACTGTCGCCAGCGGGATGTCGTCGACCAGTACGTTTGTAAGCTCCAAGAGATGCTGCTGCTGGTACCGCCTTGGCTGTGACCTCGCCGTCGCGGCCGGAAACGCGTGCCTCGAAAGTGGACCCCCGAAGGCTACCTTTCCTCCACGGTCATGGTTCGACGGCGATATGGCATCGCTATGGGCATACTGACAGCCTTACGAGCCTTCTCTGCACATACCTCAACAGCCTCATGGCCAGCAAAGCCTGTCGCTGCTCATCAACAACTCATACCGGCGTTCCAGGGCAAAATCATGACCTGACGTTCACCACAGCACTCCCGCGGACTCGAGACTTGGCAGAAGCCTCCACTTTGCAGTCAAGATAAGCCTTTGATCTGCCAACTCAATCTCCGCTTGCATGAACGTTACGGGTGTGGCTGCTTATGTGGGGTGGTAGATATGAGCCGGCTGTTTAGCAGCGTTTCCTACAGGCTTTCACTAGTGGCAGGGTCCAAAGGCGGTGAGAGCACTCTCCATAGCCTCGCAGGACCGCAGTCCTCAGCATCAGACTCTCGGTACATCGTCCACATGGCGCTCCTTATATTGGAGAAGACCTGAGCCTGCTGTATCCTACGGATACTACAGTATATGCTGGCCTGCACGTACAGTGCGGTCAATGAGAGAGTACCGCCCAATCACCACCGTGGGCATGGCAACCTGCAGAAAGCGAGCATACAGAGACGCGAGGTGACGAGAGGGCACTCTACGCTCTCCTGGTCGGAGCACTGGGAGATGGCTACACCACTCAGTGCACGAGCATGGGCTACATACGGCGAGGCGGAGATGTGTCACCGTGGCTATGGCACAAGCAGACAAGCCATTACGCTCGAGAATGCGTGGATGATGCTGCCAGATCGTTTAAAGCTCTTGCCTCTGCCTAGTTGAGTATTCTTCTTGTGCCATACGCATTTGCTTATGTTTGTGATTGAGTCTGATCTGAGCAGCTACTCGCCGTGCGTGTTGTCCTCTGGTTTCTGAATGGTTTAGATCAGGTGTTGAGGGTAGTATTGTTGGACTTGAGAATAAGGTAGACGCGTCAATCGGCTCCGCCCACTCAGCTGGTTCAAAACCTCAACTCTCGACGAATTCTGCACCGTCTCAAACACAAACACAAAGCCATCGTGACCGCAACCGCACCACCACCACCACAACCACAGTAAGCATCTCTACACCATTCTCACACCTACCACCCTGTCTGACGCACTCTAGATGGCCAGCAACAGCAACAACAACAACATGGCGACGACGACGACGACGACGACGAAGAAGACGGCCGGGGAGACGGAGTGCTTGCACTCCTATCAGCTCCTCGCGTCCGAGACGACGCTGGTGGAGTTGCGGTGCTCGGTGTGCGGGAAACCGCACACCAGCATCTACAAGTGCAGGGGCTGTGGGCGCCGGGTGTGCTCGTCTTGTGCGAGGAAGGAGACGGAGAAGAAGAAGGCTTGAGTGAGTACCCGTCTATAAACCGTTTGCAGGACTCTGAGCTGATATAAGTACAAGGCAGCAGCAGCAACAGCAACAGCCGCAACAGCAGCAACGGCAACAGCAACAGCAACAACAAGCCTCTCCGCGCCGCCGCAGAGCCCTCGCGCTCGTGCATTGGGGGTGGTGGGCGCCGTGGCCTTGAGATAGCGCCGAGAGCATAGCTGTACAAGACCGTTGCCTGCGCTTTAATTTTCCTGTGACACATGAGATTCAAGCATCTCCACGCCGCCGCAGAACCCTCGCGCTCGTATACAGTCGTTGGCAGGCACCATGTCCTTGAGACAGCGGCGGGAGCATACCAGTACGACTTGTTCTCCTGCTCTATGTTTTCTATGAAGATTGTGCTTTGCAGGCATCTCCGCGCCGCCATATCGCCCTCGTGCTTGTGCCTAGTGGATGGTAAGCACCTTGCCATGGTTCTGAGTCGGAGAGGGCTCATCAAAATTGCGATAATCCTGCTTGATATCCTACTATAAAATCAGGTCCTGCTTGCATCTCAGCAAGGTCGGATACTGCTCAAGCTGCGGCATAGTTGACGAGTCGCAGATTTAGCTGCTTTAGCCACGAGGGAGCCACAAGCACCAGGCTATAACTTGCTCACATATACGTGAAATCTCATCATGAACTCAACCTCAGCAGGCATCCCAGCAATGCCAACTTTGCTTGAGCTTATGCAGTGAACGAGAAGTATAGCAATGGCTGCCCTAGCCTCGAGATTGAGACATCACTCTACCTCTGTACAGCAATGGTTTTGACATGGGTATATACGGTATATTTGCAGCCAGTATGGTTCTCGGCACCGCCATATACTCCTTGAGCTTGTACCACGAACCTCGCATACCGCAGTAGGTGCCAGAGCTACGAGAGAGGCGTGGTTGACGGAGTCACTAGCAATGAAAGGAGCGAGATCATCGAGGCAAAAAATATCAAAGTCATGGAAAAGCGTATGCTCTCATTTCATTCGAGCAGATAGTCTGAGCTGCCACAGACACGCCATGCACGCATCTCAGCATGACCCTTCTCACGTAGCTTCATGCCACAAAACGCCTGCTTCCCACCTCACCCATTCCACACCTAAGACGAGCTGGCAGCTTCTGCCTCAGCAGCCTTCCGTGCCT